AATTAGAACGCTTCTTTAAAAAGTTTTCCTATTAATTTTCTTTTTTTGCATTGAGTGTATGAAAAACAGATTACGCTTCCTAACTGGAGACAGAACTCAAAGGGAAAAGGAAATGAACGTATCCCCATATTCTTTTCATCTAGAAACAAGGATTTATTTACATAGTGTCTTTTTTCAACGTGGTGATGAGCCACGAGGGCAGGGTCATGCACAGCATGGTGAAGCGACCAGCTGCCAAGCCCTCCCCTCCTACGGGGGCTGCGTGACTTCGGTGGAGCCGGAAGGCATGAGAAAGGCCTGCAACTTTGACACATTCAGGAGATTTTCCTTAAGAAATGTCACGTTTGGAATAGCTTCCAGAAATTGTTCAAGAACAAAAAGTATTCAAGTTCATGCATTACATTTAGAAGCACAATATATTGGAGAACATTTTCAAAAGCTAAAAAAGGCGGGGGAGGGGGGCTGTCTTTCCATTGAGTTACATAGTGAGCCTTCTGTTGCATATAGGTGTGTGTTCAGAGCGTTTAAAAGTCACATCCTGCCACAATTAACAGCCCAAAGAGCATTCTTGGCCCCTGACCTATAAATAAACCTTCGAATTCCGCAACCTGCTCACAGACTCTTAACAAGCGCTTCTAAAACCAAAAGGCCTGCACACTGGTTCGAAATCCGCAACCCAGAAAGGCTTCATTTCCCCTGTTTTAACAACAAAGTTGTGTATTATCTTTTTTTGAAAAGTGACTCAGAAGAACTGACACCCATTTTCACTTTTAAGAACTAGTTTTTCGTAACATTGAAGAAATAAAATCTTCAATAGGAAGGTGTGTGGCCTCACAGAGGAATATAGTAATTCTCGGCTTTAACCAACGAAAGCTTCCTTTGGCAGCATGGCCAGGCTCGTTGGCTTTTTGTCAGGAGATACATGACAGAACATTGGCAATCTTTCAAGAGAATGATTCAAAAGGTAATTTACAATCGACTGGTGCTACCCCTAATGCCTTTTTGCCTTATGCCCTAATTTTATGGAAACAAATTAAGGACCTTAAGCCAGGGGTTAAGTGTACCATTCAAAATATACCTGAACACTAGTGCGAGGGTCAAAAGCTATAGGATGTGGTTGGGCTGCCAAATACACTACCTCATCTGCCTATTTGAGCGCTAACAGCAGGGGAGTTCACATGCTTTTCTAGGGACAAAATTTAAAACAGGTGAAATTGTCCATAGCTGAACTTGCTGTTCCATTTGGGCTCATTGTATCTAATCCTTCTTGTTCTCTCTTTCTCATGCCTTCTTCCTATCTTTTTTTACATCTCATACTTTTTCTTTATAATTTCCTCTGGATATTTTTTCTAAGACATGTGTCATAGGTTACAACACAAAGACCTAAAAGGAGAAAAAGGGCTAAAGAACATTCATCTTTGGAGATGTAAGCATTTAAGCTTGCATATTTTTAAATTTATGCTATCTATGAAATTCAGACACTTAATGATATCACAATTTTAGGCACTTTGGATGAACCTTATTTCATAATGATATGAACACTATAAACCTTTCAAAAGTGATTGTTACCGGTCTTTGTTAACTAGTAGTGACAATAAATTTTTCAAACCCTTCTAAGTACATATATGCCTGCTATCCCTTCGCCTGAATTTACGTGAAAATTTCGAGTTATTTTTAATCGTAAAATTCACAAAGGCCTAGGAGCAGACAGAATCAAAAAGAAAGAAACTGATTGTGGGTAAGTAGCATGTTAATTGAAATAAAATTCTAAGCATTACTCTTATGCTAAGAGAAAGGATAAAAGAACCAAACTCAGTGGCTTGGGACATTCTGCTTACGTCAAAGATCAGAGTTTGGTCTCTGGCCTGATGGCCTTTCTGGTGCTTCTACCCCTGTCCCACCCACAGACGAAAGGGTAAAGCTGTAATAATGTGACGTACCCTCACCCAATGTCTAACATGCTGGGGATGCTCAATGATCACTAAAGGGACCACATGTAGGAATGGATGAAAGTCAACTCAAAGCCACTGACAGAGTGAAGTCAGCTGTGGCCAACTTCAACAAATGAACAACCCAAGATGATAAAATGAAGTAGCTGATGACATTTCGTGTAAGATTTTATCATTTAAATTCAAGGACAGCCATATCTTACTTCAGTCTAAAATATCAGTGTTGGTGCGTAGCCAGACGTCATTAGAAACATCACAATTATGCACACAACCACCCCCACATTCTAATGCCAGTTTAAAAACAATTCTGTTGCCTTGAACCAATAGTATATTGAAACGAAGATAACTCCTACTGTAACTGTCTTCTGCTATAGCTTTGTATGGGCTAACCAAATAAAGTTGTGAAGAAATTTGAAGATAAAAAAATCCCTGTTTTTAATTGCTTTTAGCCCTCAGATTCAGCACCAATTCAGGAAAAAATTTATAAAAGTCACCTCCATCCCTAAAGTTTGCATTCGTAGAAATGATTGCCCTGAAGTAGCATGAGTTAGGCTAAACGGTTTTGACGGCAAGCACTTACAGGCAGGATTTATGAATGGAGACATGTGAAGGCTGGTCTGGCCAGCTCTGAAGCCCCATACTTTCTTCCTGGGCTATTTATAGAAAGTGGATAGCCAGTGGAAAACAGCACATTTATTTTTACAAGCCGGTCATGACATGACCAAAGAACTCACTTCCTCTCTCTGGAAAGGTCATTTTCTTCAGCTGAGGTGCAGCTGCAAGGGCAGGGAAGAGGGGACCCCTTTAGTCAACTGCTTCAGCCAGAGACCAGTCCCACAGGGTGGCAGGCACTGAAGTCAAACACCCTCGCTGCGCAGTAAAAATAAAATGCATTATATAATATGCTTTAAAATTCTATACTTTCCAAAATAGGTTGTACAGAGACAATGGAGTGAATTCTTATTTATCATTTGTCCTACATTTCAAATAGCTGAACACAATAAAGTAAAACTGAATTTTAAAGGATGTGGCAAATGGAGAGTGTGAAAAATATTTTTAAAGCTATTTTATTCTGATGGCCATATTACCCCTGAAAATACCTGGGTAGTCCCACGCAAATTTGGAGACAGGAAATATTTGCTGATTCTAAAATATCATCATTTATCTTGACAGAAATCTGATATAATTTAGCAAGTAACATATATAGTTTCACAAACATCCCTGGTCTTGTGTAGTGTATATAGTACCTATTTGCAAACATGAAGTGAAGCAAAACCACTGTTTTCAACTAGAATGTCCTTCTGTCAATGTTATATGTGGTATATGAAAACTAAGATAGGATGGGAAAGTGGAGGAAGGAAAGGCAAAGTGAAGGAAAGTTAGTCCTCATTTTCTTTGGGACAAAATCTTTGAAGGGAAACTGGCATCTTACTGGGCTCAGGCATCATAATCATCATTTGAAAACGATCTGGGTATAATTGTATCTTTAAGTGGCTTCTACTTAAGGACAAAGACACAGGGCAAGAAGAGAAGTCTGTTTGCAGATCCAGATCTCCAACAAAAATTTTAAATGACAAATACAAGATTTATTACTTGTTCTCAAACTCATCGACCCTTTTGAGCAGTCAATCTCTTGAAAGTTCCTTCTAAAAGGGGAGGTCCCATTTACAAGGAAGCTAGAAAATACTCATCAACTTATGTCTTAGCTTCTATGCCAACATTCTTTGGGGCTCTAGAAGAGACAATGATGACATTCAAATAACTTTGCAGGTGGAAATATCCCAATTTCCACAATTGCCCCTGAATGCATGTACTGAATTAAGTTACAGGTGAGTAATGACATCCATAGTAGGCACAAATTCTCAACCTCTGTAACCCAACAGGAATCTCCTTGCACATTACAAAAGATGAGACACTGACACCCATTAGCAAAAGTGCAAGTATATTTACAATCCCATTAAAAGGCTCTAAATTAAATATAGATACATATAAAGTTAACTTCTGTGTGCAAATTAACACACTAGCATACTGGTTCCTCCAGGGAACTGTGCCAGCCTCTCCGTTTACATAGTAGTGATTAAATGCACAAACAAAAACAGCATTATCTTTAGGAGCGTCAGCCCACCAGTGCTGAGGTGCATGTTTATCTACTTTATGTGCTTGATCTAAATTATACCGTGAAGGTAACACTTCCCACTCACTGACTTATTTGGCTCCTTACCACAAGGACTTGTCAGGAAGTGTGATAAGTATTTAAATAAGCTACCTCAGTGGTTTGTGTTCATCTAGGGTTGACATATCAAGTACAGGTTAGTGTTTATAAGAAATATCTTAAATAACACTGGCGAATGTGGTTGTTAGAAAGGATCTCAGGAGCGTGTTCACTCATTTCACCATGATTTAGGATGACCGGCGTCCATTATCATAGTCTGCATCCAAATGAGACTTCAGTGTTTAGGCAAAGGTAATCTTATTTAACTCAAAATTTCAGTTACAATTCAAGTAATATGCTCCTGACTTTCACAATATAACTGCCTCATTTATTCCTGAGTATTATGTTTTTAAGCAATGGAGAGATGGCATCAGCCTAGAACAGTATATCCTCTCCCATTCCCAGATGGCTGCACCAGGAGCCACAGCCACGTTAGTGGGTTGGCTCCTTCTCCTAGTAGAGAAGCCAAATGCTCTGTGTGGCCTGGTAAGCTACTTCCGGTGCTACCAAAAACTCGAAACCAACACCATCTTCTTTCCCTCCTGGGTGGAATGTTAAACCCTGATTTGCAGTAAAGTAAGACAAAGTTTACTCCAACTGCTCTCCCCTATTTTTGAGGACCAGTCATTTGGGCATTGCTTCAAAAGGCACATTTATTCCAGTGGTAATTTAAATAAGTAGAGAAGATAAGATTACGATTCAAAACAAAACAAAACAAAACAAAAAATAGGTAGGTTTTGTGGAATACATGCAGGGGTGGGGAACCTTTTTTCTGCCAAGGGCCATTCGGATATTTACATCATTCGAGGGCCATACAAAATTATCAACTTAAAAATTAGCCTGCTATATTTGGTCAGGCTAATTTGGTGAGGCGTGTGATGTTAGCTGGTATTGATTTTGAGGGCCTTATATGGTCCAGGCTGGACGTTCCCCACCTCTGCAAGTAAATGGGTATCTGGGATCTACACAGACCACTGAGCTCCTCTCCAGTAGTCTAACCAGAGTCCCTAAAGCAGAATAATTCACATTCGTGTCATGGCACACAGGCCTTCAGGAAACACTGTTTAAGAAAGTGGTTGAGAACTCTCAAGCAGCTTGCCCTGATGTCCAGTTCAAGTGTATGCAATGCAGAAGGCTGCAAAATTCAAAACTACAGGACAATAAAATTCAGTGCATATCACAGGCTTGTGAAAATTATGAAAATCATTGTATATATTACTATTTAAATAACATCTGAGAAACATTTTGAATGATTAACTTGTGTTCACATTCCATGCATTTTCTGGTAGGTTAAGCCCTGGGCTTATGCCTTTGTGCCCATTTCCTACAAAGCTCCATTCTTTTGACAAATCCAAGCATTCCGCAGACTGAAATGGAAGTACCCAGGGATTTTGTCTACTTACTCTCTTTAAGGCATACCTGACCTCACAAGGGCTACTTGTTATTACTGCTGGCACAGAAGGTGATTGGAAAATCAACTGTCTGGGGTTTTATTGGGGATTTTATTCGCTGCCTTTGAAAAATCCCGGGATGTCACAAATACCACCTAAACTTTGTCTACCAGCGAAAACCAGTGGCTTGACCCTGCTTGACCCACTTCCATCTTCCAAAGCCCCACGTGCACTGGACCCCTCATGTCCTACTGGGCTTTCCCCCTGTGGCTCTGCAGCACCCTCCTTGAGCAAAGAAGGAAACACAACAAAACTGGAAAACAAACCAACATAGTAACAACAGAAAGTACAAACAGGTGGGCAAACCAGCAGCCTCCTGCAAGGCAGAGGCTCACTATTTACTGCAGAATTCAGAGCTGTTTAGGAACTTCTTGATGACCAGCCCCAGGCAGACGACCAGCAGCAGCATGTAGCCCACGGTGCCCGAAAAGGTGGGAGCGGCAGGTGGCGCCTTGAGAAATTGGCGCAGGCCCTCCTCCACGTAGTACACCTGGTCGTAGATGCTGAGGAAAGTGAAGATGTGGAAGAGCTGGTGGCTGTGGCCGATGATGTCGAAGAGGCCAGGCTGGATGCGCTCGGGGATCTTGCTCACATTGAAGAAGGCGGCCACCACCAGCCAGAAGTAGCGGCGGTAGAAGTGCACGAAGAGCGTGGGGTTCTCGCCACGCAGATCAAAGAGCCAGCTCTCCAGCATGATGGGGCAGGCCATGCTGAGCGGCATGACGAAGACAAAGGTGCGCAACGCGAACGGGTAAGAGCACCAGTCGGTGCGGCTCTTGCAACAAGCCACGGTGCAGGCCACCGCCAGCACGAAGGCCACAGGCAGCACGAGCGCGCGGTAGGCGGCGATGAGGCGCGTGCAGTCCACGTGCCAGCCCAGGCGCTGCTGCACGTAAGGGGTCATCACTCTGGCATCCAGCAAGCTGAGGCCGGGCAGCAGGTAGTAGTAGTAGGCCACCGTGCTGCCGAAGCCATAGTAGCTGATGGACGCGTAGTCCAAGTAGAAGAAGGCGGCGCGCAGGCGCAGCGACAGGCAGCTGAACACGTGCGCCGTGCAGCTCATGGCGAAGGTCAGCAGCACGCCGGACGCGTAGCACCACAGCGGCAGCAGCCACGGGTGGTGGAAGGGCACATCCCGGCCGCTCAGGAAGAACAGGCGGCAGAACTTGCTCAGGAACAGCAGAAGGGGGATGAAGTGCGTCCAGAAGTTGAGCGTCTCGTTGGTGGGCTTCAGCACGGAGGCGAGGCACTCCTGCACGGTGCAGGGCAGCCGCCGGTAGCCGGACAGTATGAAGCACTCCACGAAGTCATCGGGCACCTCATCCCAGCGCAGCAGCGGTTTGGCGGAGGCCGGAGAGTCCCCGGGGGCGGAGGCGTGGGGGCGCGAGGAGGCCTCCAAAGCCGCCTCGGTCGTGGCCGGCGGGCCCTTTGTGCCCGCGCTCCGGGGCTGCAGGCGCCGCAACATGGTGCCCCGGGCTTGGCTGGGACGAGAACCGGCGACCTCTGGCGAGGGCTCCCGCGAACAGGCGACCTCTGGCGCCGGCTCCCGCGCTCCGCAGTCCCCGCCGGCCGCCGTCGGAGCCTTTGTGCACGCGCCGGGGCGCCGCTGCAGGTTCAAGAGAAGACCTGAGCTTCTAAGGAGCGGTTCCTAAAAATAAGCAAATGAATTAAAATAATCAGTTTGTAAGCAGCCAGCGAATGGCAGGGTCGCGCCAGGCTCGGCGCGCCCTGCGCCAGGCTCCCCGCTCTCGCTCGCGGCGCCTACGCTGCGGCAGCCCCAGCGGCGGTGCAGCGGACTGCGGCGGCGGCGGCACTGCCCCGGTGACTGGGCATCGCGTGGTGCGGGCGCAGCCGCCCCGCCGCCGTCCCCGGCGCGGGAGGCGGGGATGTGGGCGCTGAGGCGCTGGAGGGAGGGAGGAACCGGCGCTCCGAAGGAGGGCGGGGGCCTCCCCGGCTAGTGTTTCGCTGCCGCCTCCGGGGATAGAGTTGTCCCCAGTCTCAAGTTCCATACCATCCCCCTCCTCCGGCGGCAGCAGCCCAAGCTGGCCCGTTAATGATTGATGCGGGGGCAAAGGCTGCGCCAGCGACTCAGCTGCGTGTGCCAAGGGCGAGGGTCGGCGCTGGGGTTCAAAACCCGACAGCCACGCGGGCGTTCGAGAGGACACCGGGAGCCGCTCGCTGGGGCGGGGAGCCGCGGCCGCCAGCGCGGGGTGGGGGAGGGGAGGCGCCTGGAGCGCTGCAGCGGGGCGGGGAGATGCGCTCACACTAAGTCCAGAGGTGGCGGGGGCAGGGACGCTCCAGAAACGGGGGAGCTGGGAGACCGTGTCCGGATCAGGGCCATGTCATTGTCAGAAACCTGGGACTGCCCCTCTTTTCCGTGTGCGCGCGCACGGGAGCGCGCGCGGCTCTCGCTGTGGGCACCGCATGGAACCTTAATTTATCTCCTTTCGTATAGCGGACTTATTCAGGTGCGTCATTGACTTACCTTCTCCCTCCTCCTTGTCTTGTCCAAACGAACCATCCCATAACTGGCCTCTGGTCGCTCCCACCAACCCTCGGGGCCGCAGCTCACCCATACTCGTGTTCTTGTGTTCTTAACTAGGAATCTTGTTTGGAGCCCAAAGTTCGAGAACTGAGGCAGGCTGCTCAAACCAAGCAATTCAGAAAGACTCTAAGGATCTGCAGAATTTATTAACCAGAGCTTCCCTAGCAGAGCTGTGCCTAAGTCGAGGGCTTATCACAGTGGTGGGAGTTGATGAGGGAGGACTTCAAGGACAGATGAATCCTAGCACGAACTGAAGAGAACTGGAGACAATTCGTAGAGACTGCGAGGCGGTGGCTTGGAAAAAGCTTATGCATAATTGACCAGAAGTACCTGGCAGGCTTGAGTGACTGGAGGCCAGAATAAAGGAAGTCTAAAGAATCAAAAAAACGGTTCTGATGCACTGCATGTGAAAATGTGCCCTTGAGCCTTGTAAAGGGGGGCTAGAAACCTGCCTGCTCTAACATGTTTACCAGTTCACAGAAGTTTCTCTTAGTGATGCGCTGGGGGTATGACTGAGACTACCTGCAATATAGTGTCATGGCAGCAGGAGCTAACTATAAGGGACCAGGCACTGTTCTAAGTGCTTCACGGTTTTTAAATCTTTTAGGTATTATTATTTTCCCCAGTTTTATAGATCAGGAAATTGAGGCACCGTGACCATAAATAACATGCTCAATTGTTAGAAGGGGAATTTGAGCCTAGGCAAGCTGTTTCTAGATCTCATGTACTTAAACCAAGACATCCACCAAGCTGCTTTGCTCAAAGAAAACTAGAAGGACAAAATGAACAGCTATCTTCATCAGGACAGCAAGTCTTATAAGTAGATCAAAGACTTACTTAGTAGTGGCTCGAGGAGGACTTACGTTGTGGATAAAAATTATTTATAATTAAATCATTCAGTATTGTAAATGTTTAAAATTACTAAAAGATAATAGAAACAGTCTCTTCAGAAGTTTCACCCTTCTCTCTGAAAAAATGTTTTCCACTTAGCAAACACTTACACAATTAGGCCAAAGGTACACTTGCATCTTAGGCTTTTCTGCTCTATCATAAATTCCTGATTAATGGATGTTAAATTAATGATATTTTGCTGTAGTTCCTTAACTAGTATTTTGTTTTAGTATTTCTGTTTTTCCACTTCTACATCTTTGTTGTTTTAAAGCAAAAGGTCCTTTAGTTCTTTCACATCTAGACTAAAGACCAGGCTAATTTGTAAAAGAAATTAAGATTCAGACATTTATAAATCAGGCCTAGGAATGATAAACCTGAATAGGGCAGACCAGAAAAAAAAATTCTTTTTTCATATTCTCTTTATTATTCCACAAACAACCTGAGCTTTTACCTGTAAAAAAAATGTTGATCCTGTAATAATTCCCATATTTGTCAAACTGTTAGTTGCATAATCAGCTCACTTACATAATTGGGGAAAATATAATAGAAAGGTCACATCAAGTAAAATAATGGAATTTACTGTAAATGAATTGTTAAAACTCCAGTTAGATAAAATAACATTTATCTTTATGACTAAGATTGGTGAGACTGCTATAATATGGTGTACTTTAAAACAGTATTTTATAAAGTCAAAAAATCTGTTGTAACCTTCTTATAAGTCTTTCAGAAAGTCATTGAGATTTCCGCTTTTCTCTCTTCTAATACATCTCCCACCCCACATGAGGCACATACAAAATCAGCCAATGCCATGAAGTGGTGTTCACGAAAGCTCTCTGGTGTCAACCCAGATAAATATTTCTATATCTTGACTAATCCAAGTAAAAAGGAACTGAGGAAACAGAAAAACTGACCTAACTTTATTTTTAAAAACCCCAGCAATCTATAGAATTAATGTTCTTGCTTTTTTTTGAGATAGAAAAATGTGTTCTCTAAACCCTACACAGGCTGGGTTTTGTAGTTTGAACTCCAGTAAAGTAACTGCCTCTTGTCAGTGAGAACCTGCTCACATCCCCTGGTTTGGCTAAACAGATAGAAGCAGCGGGCTTGCTGCCATTCCCTGAGGGTGCACTGAGAGATAAAGCATCTCTGAGCTAACCAGGGCTGACTACCAAGTTCTTGGCAGCGTAGAATAGCCAGGTGCCATTGAAAAGCCAGTGCCAGCCTGGCCGGTGTGACTCTGGTTGAGCATTGACCCATGCACCAAGAGGTTGCCAGTTCGATTCCCAACCAGGGCATGTGCCCAGGTTGTGGGCCAAATCCCCAGTGCGGGGCATGCAGGAGGTGGCCAATCGATGTTCTCTTATCAATGTTTCTATCTCTCCCTCCATCTCCCTTCCTCCCTATTTGAAATCAATAAAGAAAAAGGGAGGGAGGGAGGCAGGAAGAGAGGGAGGGAGGGAGGGAGGGAGGCAGGAAGGGAGGGAGGGAGGGAGGGAGGCAGGAAGGGAGGGAGGGAGGGAGGGAGGCAGGAAGGGAGGGAGGGAGGGAGGGAGGGAGTGAGGAAGAGAAAGAAAAGCCAGCATTAGTGTTTAGAGGCAGAAACCAGCTAGTTCTTCCTGTTGAAGGCTTGTTAAACCAAGACCCCAAATATGGTTTGGGTAGTTCTGTGGAGGCCCTGTACCTTCGGGAGTTGGGTCCTGGCTGCAAAATACAGTCATACATAGGAACTGGAGCAAATAGGACAAATACTTTTGCCCAATATAGTTTGCTTTGGTGTTGTTCTTATAGACCAATTATTGGTTTATTTGTGTTTCTCTCTACAGTAATACTGTAAAGCATACATAAAAATTTCACAGCAAATTTGATGTCCTCTAATAGGGACAATGAGTTGTGTGTAAAACTTGCATTAAAAATATGCTATAATATTTACAGATAATACACCTGTTTTAGGAGGAAATACTTTTTTCTAGTCCCATTTTAGCCAAAACAAACGAGCCAAACAAACAAAACTCAATGCTTTATTGCACCCAAGACTGTACAAAGAGCTCTGTAAGGTTCAGTCCCTCTCTCAGAAGATACAGTGCAAAGTGCTTTCCTTCCCCACACATTTAAAACAGCCCCCACCAGAGTAATGCTATCATCCAAACTCTTCCAGATCAGATAAGGTTACTACCAGATTATAGGGTCTAAATTTCCTAAGGGTGGAAAACCTCCCTGCAGTGCCTTGGGTGTAACTATGGCAACCTTTGAGGAAAAGTGGAATCCAGAGGGCTGGAAGCTAGAGAGAGAGGTAGTAGATTGTCTTATCTGGCACTGTCCCTATTTACTGAAGTGGTGACAGAGTTCTCTTTTGAAGAATAGCTAAGGAAGACTTGTTAGGAGGTTTTTGCCTTTTGAGGTTCTATGCAGGGAGTAACAACTCCATGCTCCCCTTGCTCTCTGTAGTTCACTTTGGAGAGATCCAAAGTGGGGTACACACAAAGACTCATTAGGTGATGAATAAAATGTTAAAACTTCTGTTTCAATGGATCTTTTAAATGTCTATACTCTGTGAAGGTTTTATAATACACCTCATATGTAGTATATGGAGGTAACTTATAAATAACAGGTTGGGGCATAAGGCGACATCAAAACACTGCTGGGTAAAAGGTGCTTGATCAAAACTTCGTTGACTTCTGCCCTACATTCCAGGGCTCTTGTTTGTCCGGCCTCCTTCTGTCCCCTCTCCTGGATCAGAGATGGGATTCCCCTTTACTGACTCTCAGGTTGCTGTAAAGGGTGTTTTGGGGTCACCATCTGTCAGCCAACAGTCCTTAAGCTCTGACCAGACCTGCCCATGCCTTCAGCCCCTCCCACAGCTTTCCTGCGCTGGGGCGCTAGGGCGGCAGTGTCCATGCTGGGGCTACTTTTCTCGGTTCCGCCCTTTCCTCCTCCCTGGCTAGAGCTATACTGTCCTAGCAAAGGCCTCACAGTTACGTGTTAATTTCATCCTAATTCAGAGTTGCCCTGTGGGGAGGACCTTGTCAATGGCTGCTGCTTGCTTTTAGTAGGGACTTCTAGGCAGTTTCCATTTCTTTAACGTTAGAAATAGTTATACAGGTGTGTAAACTCTATTCTTGAGATCTTGGTCCTTATTGTCTATTGACAGTTGTCCTTGAAACACAGTGCTTTGCCCATAGTAAGCACTCAACACATATTTGTGATTGGGGAAATTCTTTAGTACTGTAAGCCTTTAAAAGCTTAGAACTTAGAACCCTAGTATCTTAGAATGGAGATGTCACTTGATCCTTTACTTCATCTAGTGCAACTCTCTTCCCATTTGTGATAGTTCTTTCGATTTATTGATCATATACTGCATTCAGGTACTGGGATGGGCACTTTACATATATTATCTCTCTAATTCTCAGAATACTCTTTGCAAGGTAAATCCACTATCCCTATTTTCAGACAAGAAAACAGAAACTCGGCCTTGAACATCTCCAATAAAGGAACTTATTACCTCATATGGCCTCCTGTTTTATTTTAAGTTTTTAAAATTTGTTGTTCAAAAACTTTATAAATAATTAAATGAGCATAACTGGTGAGAAGATAAAAAACAAAAAGCAAAACACTGTTACACCTTGGCCAAAGCTCAACCATAAGTGTTACTGAATGTGGTCAATTGGATCTGGTTAGAAAGTCCCTGAAAAAAATAATGCAAAATAAGGCATGTATTCTTCCAGCATG